AATRCACTCTGCTGTCATGCATATCAAATTAAACTAAAAATAAAAAATATTCAGCCTTCCTAAACTATCCTATTTCCCAAATTATTAATAGAATGAAATTCTTAGTAAATCATTTATATATTACATTTATCCTCCTTTAAGCTTCAAAAAAGTGTTAGTATTAAAAATAATAGTATTAAAATATTTCTGCTTTTAAGCTTGAATAATCAAGCAATAAAACTTTCAGGCTGGAGTTGGGGCTATAACTCAATGGCAGAACACTTGCCTAGCAGGTGCAAGGCACTTGGTTTGATCCTCAGCACCACATAAAAATAAACAAACAAAGGCATTCTGTTCCACTTACAACTACCAAAAACAAAAACAAAAACAAAAACCTTCAGGCTGAAAAAAAGAAAAAAGTGCATTTATGGCAAGGCGCCACAAGAGGGTGCCATTTTTCCATGCTGAGCAGATGCCTGAAGCCTGAAGATGATCTCCAGCTTCATTTTTCTAGTTATCTGTAACCTAGACAACTTCCATCATAAAGGTTCATTAAYTTGGATACTTTACCAATGACTCTCAAACAGAACACATAAAAAAGATTCCAAGGGGAATACCCTCTTGAACCCCGAGTTTCACTGAGTCAGAACCTCTGTGTGTGAGGCCAGGAGCTTTGATTTGACACAGCTTGCAGCTGACCCTGGGGCAGGCCCCAGAAGCCACGCTAAAAGTTCCTGCACAGAATGCCAGCCAAGTACCTGTGGACAGAGTGGCTAGAGGTGACAATGACAATGCCAGAATGGTGCGGAGAGCTTCCTGGCTATCTATGGACTGAAACCTCTGAAACCGTGAGACCRAAATATGTCGTTTCCCCCTCTATGTTGTTCTCATCAGGTCTTTTGGACACAACACAGCAGCCAAAAAGCTGACTGGAACAGTTCTTGACCTTTGAGGCAGCATCTTGGCCTCTGGGGACAGCCCTGAAGSACAGGATTGATGCACCTTGGAGCTGTACAAACCAACGGCCCTGGTTATGAACCAATGTGAAGGGCACTGATAATGTAACAAATAGTTCTGGAGCATTGAACACCAGGGAAAAGATTAGATCAGGCTTTTTGATGGACGGTGAAGAGCTAAATAAAAGAAGAAAGTAAGTGTGAGTATTTAACTGAATCGTAGGATAAGGAAGTCTCTAAGCATTAAAGCAAAGAAAAAAGTTATATAAGAAAAAGTGGATTTGATTACAAACTCACAAAAAAAATTATATACGWCAAAAACCACAAACTGGAAGACACACGTGCAAGTAATATGACTGAAAAGGGTTAATAATTTTAACATAAGAAGAACATCTATGGGGCTGGGCTGTAGCTTAGTAGTACAGCACTTGCCTCACACATGTGAGGCACTGGGTTCGATCCTTAGCAACACATAAAAAAAATAAATGAATGAATAAAGATATTTTATCCATCTATAATTAAAAAGATATTTTAAAAAATAAAGATCATTTTTTAAAAAAAGAACATCTATGGAAGGTCAAAAAGATAGAAAGCCAGGCATGGTGGCTCACATCTGTAATCCCAGTGACTTGGGAGGCTGGGGCAGGAAGGTCTTAAGTTCAAGGCCAGCCCAGGCAATTGGTGAGATCCTGTCTCAAAAAAAAAAAAAAAAAAAAAAGACTGGGGATATAGCTCAGTGAATAAATGACCCTGGGTTCAATAAAAAAAAAGTGAAAATATTCAATCTCATTAGTAAGTAGATGAGTGCAATTAAAATATAAGAAAACCACTGTGCACTACCAATGTGGCTTTACCAAATTGACGGAGTTGTTTTTTACTTTGTTTGATTGTTTGTTTGTTTCAGGCACATCCTCTCTGGAAACCAAGTTCCTAACCTTATCCTTGTAGAAATATTCAGAGATTTGTCTACAAGGCTGTTCATTGCACCGTAAAATGTGATTTTAATATTACAAACATCCCAGACATCATAGAAAACTGAAAGTTCCCTGGCTATCCAGCAATCTTGAGTTGATTAAATCAATGCTGACACCCTCTGAGGCTGGATGAGATGCGGTGGGCAGAAATCACACGATGATGGCGACAGACATGGAAAAGAGTCTTTATAAATTATTACATAAACATCAGGATAAAACTATAATCGATTTGAGCCAAATGACATAAACACATTGGCTTGACTTAAGAAACTGCCCCTGGGCTGGGGATGCAGCTCGGGGTGTAGAGCTCTTGCCCATCACGCTCAAGGCCTTGGGTTTCACTCAAGAAAAGAGACAAAGGAGACAGAGAGAGAGAGAAATGGAGCCAGGGAAAGGCTGAGCCTCCGGCCCCAGAAAAGCCTTCAGCTGGAGACAAAAACAAGAATGCTCGTTGTTCTAAGCTACTGAGTTTGGAGTGACTTGTTACGCAGCAACAGGTGACCAATGCACAGAAAGGGATGATCTCATGCCTCTCATGGTATAGGCCATGATCTAGTTTTATGGGATAGGATATAGAGGGCTGGAAAAAGCCTCCTTTGCACCATCACAACACACACACACACTATAGAAATCACAAAACACATCAGAGAGCTGGGGTGCAGCTGGCTCCCTATTGGGGTGCAGTGGGGACCACTGGGGATCTCAGACACCAGGGGGGGTTGTCTGCTGCTCCCTGTGCACCTGTTCTCTGGTCAGCACAGACAGCAGGGAAGGGTGGTCCTTCTGTGTCCCCACACTGACCCCTTTGCTGTATCCATCCTCCAATAACAGTTATTTTACCAGCCTGAATTATATGCCCATTGTTCCAAYGATCACGTGGTTTCCTCTCTCCTAACTGGACCTTACCTGACCCGTGACACAGGTATTCAGTTCAATGCACCCATTTCTCTACCATGTTCTCCTTTAGGGGCACAGCCAAGAGCAAAGAAGACCCCCTCCTTACCCACACAAGCCTTGTCAGTTGACCCCTGAGGACCTCTCCAGACTCCCCTGCTACAAACTCTACCCCACTCACCTGGCTCCCAGAACCACTCCCAGCCTGTTCCCCCAGCCTGGCAATTTTCTGGATCTCTCTGTACCCCTTGAGCCCACTCGGAGATAGGCCAAAGAAAATGAGTCCTCCCAGAAATAGAGGAAATCTTGTAGAGAAGGATTTGTTTTTGTTTTTTGGTGTTTGCTTTATACGTTGATAAAAACAGCAGCCACAGAAAAAGAATGATTTATTCTCAGATGGATTCCTTGCTCTCCTGTTTTCCTTTCTTGTTGTCATTTTCTTTCCTGTAGAAAGTTACAAGGTGAGAAAGGGACCCCCGGGGTGTCAGGCTTAGCTCTTTCGACTGCCCTTTATAGTTTGAGTATCACCATGGCGACCTACTTCTCCCAGAGGATGGGGTACTGAAAGAGGGTGAGGCGTGAGCCCGTGTGTTCACACACATGCAGACACACACACATGCCTGCACGAGCACACCCACGGTACACACATTCACACCCAGGTGCACACACACATTCTGGTCTGAAAACTCATCTACCCAACGAGACAATGGGGCCAATGCTTCCAACAACGTGTAAAACCACGGAGGTGTCTTGAAATTGAGAGATGACAGGAACTTCAGTTCCTGCGGTTCAATTTATAAAGTAGGATTTGAAGTGAGGGGAAAAATGGAGTCTCTACCACCTGAAGAAGGGCGACATCCCCAACACAGCAAGAATTTTAAAGAAACCAAACAAAGCCATAAAAAACAGAGCAGGCCCTGTGCTGCTGGGGCTGTGCCTGGCTTGTGTTTTAAGGGGAGGACAGAACCTGCGGGGGCAGCAGCTGGACTAGGCGGGTGATTCCCAGACATTTCAATGAACACTCTGTGGCTTTCCAGAAGGCCCCAGCACATAACCGTGTCTTACTCTGAAAACACTTTATTACCTTAATACCTGCATGGCATTAAGACCAGCTGCACACACCCACTCACAGGCCACAGCCAGCCTCCTCCCCTGCTCCCTGCAAATGCTCTTCTTCGCTCTCTGTGGTCTTCAGTTAATTACTGTGACCCAGGATCATGARGGAAGAATTGTCCTTGGTGCTGTAGAGGGGAACAAGATTCTAAAAGCACGGTTTCCACTCACACAAACAAATCCATAATAAAAGGAGCTTTGCAATAATTGCAGAAGAAATGTACCAACCAGAAKCTGTTGGTGTCCCAGAGGAACTGTTACTCTGAGAAGCAGGAAGTCAAGGAAACTCCCTGGAGCAGGAGTCCTAAAGAAGGGAGCCGATCTCGTGGGGGTAGAGTGGGAAGAGCCAAAGGCACAGGTAGCAAATGGTGTGCGGTAAGGTGCAGGAAAACTCGGGCAGAACGGGAGGACCAGTCATCAGGGCCTGTGAACTAAAGTCACTGGAGGCCGTTGTTCTGGACCGAGTTCCCCCACCAGACCCCAAGAGACCAGACCAGACCAAAACAGTCACTCATGCTAAATGCTGCAGAAGAAAAGGGACATTTTAATGATGCAGTTAGATCCCCAAACRGACCAGTTTTTCCTGAAAAGAGTAGATTCCACCTCCTCTGAGTCAGCTGACAGGGACCCCCTCTGCTTTAACCCACCAAGTAATTTCTGATGTTAGCCAATCAGCTTTCGGCACTGCTCTGTTCCCTTTTCCCACCTTACAAAAGCCACTGTCCTGCCCTGGCCATCCTGGGAGCTGACTTCCATTTTGTACAGTAGAGGCTGCCCCATTCATAAATTGCAAATAAAAGCCAATTTGATCTATAACTAAATTTGTTGTGATTTTGTCTTTTAATTCTAAACCCATGAATTATTTTTAAATTTTTTCTAGTTGTAGATGGATACAATACCCTTATTTTATTTATTTATTTATATGTGCTGCTGAGGATCAAACCTAGTGCCTCACACCTGCGAGGCGATTGCTCTACCACTGAGCCACAACCCCAGMTCCATGAACTTTTTTATAATCAAAAATCATAGCAGCAAATATTTTAAAACTAGGACTACATATAGTAAAAATTTTAAGAGCATTTACCTGCAGTTGGAAATTTTTTGGCTCGTTCCTCAAAGAACCATTCCCCAGTTTTTGCTTTCACATTTCTGAAAAGCAAGCAGAAAAGAGGCCTTAGAATAGATACGAACAGTGCTGTTTCTGCCCCAGTAGTGGATGTAGGCAGGGAGAATGGGAATATCACAACATATTAATTTAAAAAGGACCAAACACCTCATTTTACCTATTTCTTACTGAGGTTAACCAATCTACAAAGCTAGTCTCCTGCTGTGGGGTGCTGTACCCTCCATGCTACAGGTACATGGGATGYATTCATATTAGCATATGCTGTGCCCAACGCAGGTCAAGACACTTAATATTTCTGAATACACACAAAGCAAAACAGAATTGCTATGGAAACAATCGCGTTGCCATGATAATGGTGGTATATATACCAAGCAATGTCACAAAGGATAAGCTCCAGAACCATTCAGCCTTCTGCAGTCGGCCAAGAGGAAGGTCACCCCCAGGTTACCGTCAGTGTTTACCAGGATATTTGCAGAGCACCAACAGGCCTGAGAAGGCTCTGGGGAGGAGCTGAAGTCCACAATTCTCTGTCAATAAGCTTTGACAGAGACCAGGGGAGGTGGTTCCAAGGGCACTACCTGACATCAGGGGAACAACTGTGGTCAGCCAGTTGGTCTGGTGGACCCCCGGACCAGGCCTCGCAGCCGCTGGCTCTCACACATAACTGCACACAGAGCTCCTTATGTGCTGGCTGCTTGAAACTGAGGGCCTAAAGTGTGTTTTGCTCTCGACAGTTGTGACGTTTCTGGAGAAACCAGAATTGTTAATATCCTTTAGGATGTAAAAAGGGAAACAGATATTATCAATTGTTTAATAATACATCAGATGGGCTGGGGGGTGGCGTGTAGCTCAATGGGAGCATGAGGAGGCCCTGGGTTTAGGGCCCCACACAGCAAAAATATTATTACCCTAAATACATAAAATGTGTCACTAAACTTGACAACTCCTTGCCTATGCAAGTTCTTAAAAATTGAAGTTTTAACTTTTGTGGAAAGTCTTTTTTTTTTTAAATTTGATTTGTTGAAATGAATTCTCTGCTAGGATTAGGCTATAACCTAAAAAATGGACTAACATGGACTTTTATGGACTTACATGAACTCAAATAGATTTTTTTTCTTTTTTAGATGCAAGAAATCAAACCTAGGGCTTCTCACATACTAGGCAAGCACTCTACCACTGAGCTATACCCCCAGCCCCTCTAATGAACATTTTTAAAGTTAATGCTTATGAATGCTGTTAATGTAAATAAAATCACAAATATATGCCAATCTACCTTTTTAAAATTACCTATCTTTTTTCTAGCATTAGTAATTGTCAGAAGACCTCAATCAACTTTCTACCGTCATCTGGTTAGGAACTATTATTTTCTGGTTTATACATCAATGAGTAGAACAAGGAAAACCTACAGTGTTTAAAAATTTTATGACAGAATATTGACATTTGGCACCACATTAAGAATCAAAAATATGTAACACAGTCAACCATGATATATTCCTAGGGAGACAGAAAAACAGCTGATCCATAAAGTCAGAAACTCAAATATCTCACCTTCTAGATCTACACAAAATACCTTCAGGCACCGTAGCCTCTCCACAGCCTTCCCCTCTACCTTGCARGCCAGCAGAGCATCGGAAAATCAGGGAGGGCTGGGCTGGGCTGAGCTCAGTGGAGGACTCTGGTTAACACGGGCAGAACCTGAGGTCAATCCCACAAAAAATCATCATCCTCATCAGGGAAAGCGTGGAGAGGTTAACGAGAGGTAGATTCACACCCTGTGAAGTGCTCCTGTACTGGGTGTTCAATTTCTGAGGACGTAGCAGGCCAGGTCTGATCATCAGGTGAGGTGGGCAGGAGGGGGCCTCCCGCTGGCCAGTGGACTGCCCCTCCTGGGCTGTTGCTCTGGAAGTGGTGACCTGCTGGAACTCATCTACTCTCCCACACTTCCTCACCCATGTGACCAAAGCCCTCATACCATCTGTTGAGCCAACCGGACACAGGCTGGCCTTGAGGAGTGACCATACCCACAGATGCCCAATCAAAAAGATGAAAAGCAGTCAAGGAGAGGGAGGTAAGGAAGGTGGGCACACCTGAGTAAATACATACCGCAGATACCTCTCACTGAAAGGATCTCCAGCCCCAGTTCAGGACCTATACACTGAGCAAACTAAAACCCTGGTCCCCTAGTGCCAGTCACCTAAAAGAACCATCTAATCATCTCATTTAATCTCAACTGAGTCCTCATGGAGTTTAAACAGCCAAGTTGGCCCACAGAGATTTGGGCACAAACTCAGAGTTTCTTGAGCTAATCTGAATTAATGAATGAAAGGATAAAAACATCACCATCCCTTACACTCAGACATTGCTGGTGGGACTGCAAATTGGTGCAACCACTCTGGAAAGCAGTATGGAGATTCCTCAGAAAACTTGGAATGGATCTACCATTTGACACAGCCACCCTACTCCTCAGTTTTTACCCAAAGGACTTAAAATCAGCATACTACAGTGCCACAGTCACATCAATGTTTATAGCAGCTGATTTCACAGTAGCTAAACGAGTGAACCAACCTAGATGTCCTTCAACAGATAAATGGATAACAAAAATGTGATACATATACTCAATGGAATATTACTCAGCCTTAAAGAAGAATGAAATTTTGGCATTTGCAGGTAAATGATTATAACTAAGAATATGGTGCTAAATAAAATAAGCCAATCCCCCCAAAATAAAGGCCGAATGTTTTCTCTGATAAGTGGATGCTGATCCATAGTGGGGTGGGGATGGTGATAGGGAAGAATGAAGGAACTCTGGTTTGTGTAGAGGGAAGAGAGGGGAGGGGTGGGGCTGTGGGGATGGGAAGGATGGTAAAATGAGACAGACATYGTTACCCTAAATACATGTATGATTACACTACTGGAGAGACTGTGCACCATGTACAGCCAGAGGAATGAGAAGTTGTGCACAATATGTCAAAATGCATTCTACTGTAAAACTAATTAATTAATTTAAAAAACCCACCACCATCCTAAGCTACATGAAGACCACTGACTTTTGCACTGGAGGCCATTTCCTCTGACTGCTAGCTTTGAGCTATACCCCTGTCACCCCTTCAGACAGAACTAGCCATTATATAAGCAATTACTCCATAATGACTTTTATAAGGACTCCTGTCTACACGTGACCTGAGTTTCAGATGGAGGACCACAAAGCAACTCTTGTCTATGGGAGAAGCAAGTCAATTCTGAAGTCTCTGTCCCCCCAGGGCCAACCCAGGGTGGCATGACTCATGACAGTAACCAAAGGAAGCCTTTGATGCCTCTTCCCAGATGATTAAATCAGAATTGGGCTAGGAGAGCTTCTTGAAACATGTTAAGAGCTTAGTAGGTCAACACTTTTAGTAGGTCAACACTCTCAGGTAAAATCATGACTTGCTTATTTAAAAATTTTCAATCAATCCATAAATGCATCTCAAAAGGCAAACACATGGGGTGTGGAGAGAGCAGGAGCTGTGGAGTCAGAGGACCACCCTTCCACTAACTAGGCAGTCCCCTGCAGGAGGATTCTTAGAAGAATCGTAGCCAAGCACCTGGTGCACAGATGGTGTTTCTGGAGGTTTCAGCATCCACCTTCATGGTCTTGACCCTGCGAATGCTGTAATTTCATCAGCAAAAAAGAAACAATTGTTGAAGAGCACTACGCAAAATTCTAGTCCACAGACGTTCAACAAATGCTAAGGAGAATAGAGGATCCTAACAGAAAGCTATTTGATCTCACTACTATTACCAGTGAGCCACATGTTGGAATGCAATTTTATTTTGCATCTAAGTTACTTGCATCTGCAGAGGCATAAGCTATGGCACCTGTGCCTTATACACCAAGAAAAGTGAACATATGCAGGCGCACTGGCACATGCCTGTAATCCCTATGGCTCTGGAGGCTGAGGCAGGAGGATTTTGAGTTCAAAGCCAGTCTCAGCAATTTAGTGAGGCCCTAAGAAATTCAGTGAGACTTTGTCTCTAAATAAAATACAAAAAAAGGTGGTGCTGGGGATATGGCTAAGTGATTAAGTTCCTATGAGTTCAATCCCTGGTACAAAAAAGGAAAAGAAAAGTGAGTGTATTAAATATTAAGGTATTTTCATCAGTCAATGCAAGAGGTGGAAAGTTGGTTTGCATAATCAGAATTCATTGACTATCTGCAAAAGTCCATCTGTGCAGATCTGCTTTTCCACCAGTGCCCCAATGGCAAGGAATCCTCCAGAGAGCTCTTAAGAGGGCCCTGGAGGCTCATCAGATGCATGAGCTGAAAATAGCCAAATAAAGAAGATGGATTGTAAAACTGAGAAAAATCTAACTGCTAGTTTGTCCAACTGCTTGGGGATTCCCAGCTAGAACAGACCTGTGTGTGCACACAGTTGAAAGCTTTTACCTCAAATAATCTTGTATCTCAGATGCTTTGCAGTTACAAACCAGTGGGGTTTTTCCAGAAGCGCATCTGATCTGATTTTGACTTTCTTACAAGAAAAGAGACCAATCCTGAGTAACTATGGAGAGTCAGAGAATCTAGATGAAGATAAAGAAATGATCTCATCGAGCTGCTACCAACAGTTCTTGCAAAACATTTATAACTGTCCTTTCCTTAACTTCAGAGACAGGCAAGCCCCCAGTCACAACCCATGCCAATCACAGCCGCAGGCACTGTGAAGGTGCCCCTCTGCAGGGGGCACCCTGAGAACCAGTGATGAGGTGGGAGCCTGATGGGTAGAGCCCACAGCAGGGTGCTCTGAAGTTTAGCATGTGTCATGCCCTAGAAACGTGTGGGGTRGGGGACACACTCAGGCACCAGGAGGAGGAAGTGGCTGGCACCATGGCAGGGAGGGGCAGCACCGTGGTGAACCCACGGCCCACTGTGAGGCATTGATCAGTATTAAACTCGGTGCAAAAAGCAACAAGGRCTGGGCTGCCTGAGTCTCTGATTACGAGAGTGAGTCTGGGGCTGTGACTTCTGGTTTGCTACATCTAGTTG